AGTGTCTCTGGGTGACAGCAGGTATACCTGGGGAAAATCATGGTCATCCCATTTTGCAGTGTAGAAAACTGAGGCTCTGAGAGATTTAATAACTTATCCAAGGTTATAGTGCTATCACTTGGCAGAACTGAGAATCAAATACACGTTTTTGTCTTGCCCTTGAGCCCTGAACTTGCTCCCTTTCTGAGGCATAGGCTGCTGGGTTTGCCCTGGGTATGCATGGAATACCCTGCCCCAAGGTTTGTCTGTGGTCTTGTTTATTGGCTACAGAAGTGTTGAGCAGTTAGAGGAAAAACTAGGCAGGCAGTGTAATTTGGTTCCTGGTCTTGGAAAATTGTCCATTAGCCTTAGGTCCACAGGACAACACATCCCGTGCAAAGATATGGCTAAGACCTGTACCTCCCCCCCTCATGCAGAGGCTTGTTAGGCTTGATATGTGGGTGCTGACTTGGGGGCTTTGGGTTTCCTAGAAGATGCGGAGCAGGATGTGCTTCAGTCTGCAGTCTGAACTGTATTCTAGCCCTTCACCTAACCCCCTTCTGCCTGCTCGGCGTCTACCTGACTCTTGGATCCTGATAGGTAGTATATGGGTGGGCAGAGACGCCAGAGCAGCTGTTGCTACCTGGTGTTTCCTCTTTGAAGGATCTGATGCTGCTGCCGATGAGGGCTACTTCATCTATTAAACCCAATACACTTGTCGCAGCTGCTAAGCCCCCGTAAGCCGCCGGGCGCCGTGTTTGTGATGGGACTGACAGTGCATGGAGGAGGCTGATTATACACGATTCCATTTCGCAGGCCCAGCAATGTAATTTCACAGGGCGATCAGCGTTTGCATGTAATAGCAGGCTGTGCTGAGGTGTCAGAATATTAAAGGCGCTAATGGCAAAGCTCCCTGTTACACAGGGGGCCACCCGCCGCGCCTACAGCAGGGCTGTGCGGCAGGCCCGTCGCAGATGGCTGACCACTAAGCTAATGGGGCAGCCGCCAAGGCGGGCAGAGCCACGAGAGGGGAAAGCCAGCCGGGAGTAGCTCGGCACCTGCTTCCCCGCGCATGGAAATTGCAGCAGCCCAGGGGAAGGGGAGTGTGCATGCCTGCCTGGCACAGGGCTGGAGTGGGTTGGTTTTGTAGCTGCAGCATCTTTCACGCCAACTCCTCCTGTCCTTGTAGCTCAGCATCAGTGCCTGCCATGGACTCAGAAGCTCCTCGGTCACCCTTCCATTTACCTCACTGTCTACCCACAAAACCCAGAGTTAAGTGGCTCCACAGTTGGGCAGGTGGGCCCTGGGAGCTGACAGAGGTGCAGCTGGAGAAGTGGTACCCAGAAAATTGGGAACCAGCAAGAGGAAAGGGGCTCAGGCACATGACCTTGGAGAGAGCTATTAAAGCAGATTCTTGCCCCTATGGTGATCAAGGTCAAGAAGCCTCTGGGCCCTGTCTACTCACTGCCCACATGCTGACAGGAGAGAGGGAGGAAGAGGGGTGAGAAGCAGATAGGAGTTCCTCCAGGTGTTGACATACAACCAGCAACCTTCAGACATGCCCATCAGCCACACACACAGAGCCACCAGGCTCAGCACCAGGGCTCTGCATGTCCCCTTTAGGCTGGTGCTATTGCTGGTGAAGTTGGGAGGCAGTGCCTCAAGTTGAGGGTCTTTCTGGGAGCTAGATCCTCCAGCTACATTCAAGTCTTGTCTTCCTCCTTTGTCATTCTTAGGCCTGAAATGTTACCTTCTCCTGTCATTTATACCCTGGGCTCCAGCCCCTCTTGCTCTGTGAATCTTTCCCAGCCTCCTTCAGCCTGCCATGGGCCTGCTTCTCTTCACTGTCCCCTGTGGGCTGTGTCATGGTGCTTAGCCTCAGATTCTCTTGTTTGTTGAGTCCCGCCAGGCCAGCCTTGTCTTCCTGGCCAGAATCCCTGAGACCCAGGCCCTGTCACCTTGCCCTGAGCTAGACTCCAAGAAAGGCTCTGCTAAGATTTGTAATCTCTTAAGAAGAGAACAAGGAGTAGCAGGGTGGGCCAAATCACCTGAAGGAGACACAGGCATGTGTGTGTATGTGTGTGGGGGGCGGCACATAGGTGCTTGGGCCTCTCCATGTTGCATACTTTTGGGTAGGGATAGCCTTCACAAGCAAGTAGTGGGGGTCATGGATATGAAAATACCGGTTTAGAGAAGCAGCAGGTAGGACCCTCTGTATTCTCTGAGTGACGACTCTCTGTGACTGGTAGCCATGCCCAGGGGTACCCAAGATGTCAGGAGGTGTTGGAGGGATTGATGTACTAGGCTAGAGTGGCTCTGTGAAGCTGGTAGTCCTGTTTGAATGTTGCAGTGGTGTGTATTAGTACCTGGGGGAGACACGCCTAGGTTCTCAGCAAGGGCAGCAGGAGGAAAGCCCAGGCTGAAGGAGAGCAGTTTTAATTAACCGGTTTTAATATCATTTTGGACTTTGGCTGGTATGCAAAGGCCCCGCTGGAAGCAGCATTTGTAAAAATTAAATCCCTCTTATTAGGAGCTTGGCAGACCCATGTGCACCCCGCTCCCTCCCCCGCCCGTGCCCCCCAGGATGTGCCGGATGAGGCTGTGTCATGGCAGCAATTGGTTATCACGCCTTATCTGGGAATATGAAACTGCGACGTGACACCATGGCCGCAGTGGAGATGCCAATTCATCTCTCCCCCGCCCCCCGACAGGCTACGCTACCCTTTCTGAAAGGCATCTGTCAAGCGGGACCGGGCTCTCACCCTGCCTGGTTCCTCAGCTTGCCTTGAGAGGCTTCTGCTTGCCCAGTCCAGCCTGGCCTTCCTGGGCTCTGCTGCCCTCCCCTCTTCTGCATGTCCTAGGCTGTGGAAGATCTTGGGGAGTCATTATTATACTAATAATCTAATCACAGTGATGCATCAGGGCAAGTGTCTACTGTTATCTGAAGTAGTCTTCCCGCTTAACTGTGATAAGGCTCAGGATGACGTGCACGTAACGTTGAGCTGCCCCGTCCCCGAACCCTGAGCGGAGTGGAGGGGCCTTAGCAGCCCTGCCGCCTGCCCCCCCCCCCCCCCGCCGCTCTAAGCTGGGAAGCGGCAGCACCTGCTAATGCAAGTGTTTAATATTTGATGGGCTGGGATAAAGCAGGATCACCTTCGAATTGAATTGAGTGTCAGCCGAGAATCTATTACTGAAATTCGGGTGTGATTTGACAGCAAAGTAGACGATGTTATTCTTCACTAGTTACTGCAATCTTCTCCCCGACATCACTTAAATATTTTTTTCTTTGCTTGAGTAAACACACATTATCCTTCTTTTTTTCCCTTTCCTTCCCTTTTTCCTTTCTAGAGGGGGGAAAAAAAACCCATCCAGCTCGCCTTTTCCAGGCTGATAGAGTAGATTGTTATTTCTTTATTTGTCCTATTAAATGGAATTTCTGATCGTTTAATCCGGCCTTTGTAAGTGATTTTAAAGTACTTGAAAGGCAGCCGCCACTGCTCTCTGGCCCGTGCACCCCAGCCTCAGCCCGCCACCTCAGCAGCTCCTACAGCTGGCCTCGCCCATGGCCTGGCTCTGCCCTGGCTCTCGGCCAGCATCCTTCCCCTGTCCTTGAGTCCCACACTCAGTTTCTGATTTGTGGGTTCAGCTATGGCCTGAGAGAAGGTGGAAAGTTAGGCTGTAGCTGGTACTTATGTGGTCATGGAAGATGGCAGGTGCTGAGGTTTAAGTATGTGGGCTACGAGTCCCTGTTGGTTCCTACAGCTGGGAAGGGATGACCCTAGCACAGACACTGCCCAGCCTTCTGTTTTGCTTCTGACTTTGTGCTAGGCCTTGTGCAGCACAAGTGGAGAGGATCTCCTGGGCCTAGCAGCAGTGGGGGTATTGCAGTGCCCGGCTGAGCATGGCTGGGAGTTTCTTTAGTTCTGTCCTTGTGGGAATTCACCTAGGTTTTATCTTCTTTCTTGCTGTCATCTTTCGGCCTTTGAAAAAGGGAAGCCGGTGTCTGGGAACTTCCTAAGTAAGGGTGGATAAGTCTACTGGCAGAAGCCAAGGTCTTGGTTGGCAGACAAAGCAGAAATTAAATCCCACCCAGTCATTTTAGAGACTCCTAGCCCACACCAGACTCTTCTCTTTGGGCCTTAGTTTCCTTATCTGTGACAGGCCAGTCATGCCTGTAAAGGAAGGTGGTATCCCTATTCTGGTGTGTGTTCCCCAGGTAGAGGTTGCTGGCGGCCAGGTGGCGGGGTAGGAAATGGAGGGCGGCAATGGAGTGCTGGGGACCTGAGGAGATCGATGCCCCTAGCACTTCCTTCCCCAACCCCAGGAAAACAATTAAGTACAGATCGATGGGTGGCCGCTTTGAATATGCATAAGTGAGCACTTGACCTTCAGCAGAGCATCTGTTCCCCCCATACACACTCACATCATGTCTTCCCCTCACAGCTGCCTGAGTCAACCAGGCAGGACTCTCCTCAGGGGAGCCCCCACTGGGCACTTAGAGCCTTGCATCATAGCCTTGCCTGAGTAATCCAAAGCACTGAGGATGGGCATGTCGTTCATCAGCTCTCGTGTCTGTCTTCTTGTCTAGGGAGTGAAGTTTAGCTACATGGGTCTCGTAGGGCCTTCCTGAGGCCAGTCTCTCTGATAGGTGCTGCTGGGGAGAGGGAGCCCCACGAGATTCTGGGAACTTTAGACAGAGGCAGTCTGAGAAAGACAAGTGTGTGGTAGAGCAGGTCCCTGGTGAGGGGAAGCTCCTGATCAGGAAGCTTTTAGTAAATGCAGCTTTTTAGAAAAGAGCTCTGGTGGGAGTACCAGAAAGGGCAGTGGGTTCTGATGGGACAAATTCCATTAGGAAGGGGACTCTAAGAAGGAAGGGGATGGGGTTGCTTGGCAGAAAGGGAACCCAAGGTAACAGTATAAGACTGAGCCCTTGACGGGAAGAGTGGGGAATTGGGAGGCTGGGGAATGGGGTCTTTTTGGGTCAGGGTCTCTTTTAACCACTCTCGCCTCCTGTCTTACAGGCTTACAGCTTCGCCATGGGCTGCTGGCCCAAGAACGGACTTCTAGACATGAACAAGGGCCTCAGCCTGCAGCACATAGGCCGGCCCCACAGCGGCATCGGTCAGTCCCTCTGCATATCCTCCTGGCAGCTCAGTCAGTCTCCTGTCCACATGTCCCAGTCCCCTGGCACTTTAGGGTTTCCATTGTTCTTTAAGTGCCCCACAAGGTTTTCTGTGTAGAGCCAAGGGGAGGAGAAAAGGGGGTCTGGCGGGGTGAGGGAGCTCCAGAGTGGAACCTTTGGAAAAGGCCTCTCAAAATACTCTTTGAAGGTGGGCACGGTGTTGCATGCCTGTAGTCCCAGTGCTTGGAAGTCTGAGGCAAGAGGATTGCTTCGAGTTCGAGGCTAGCCTGGATTACAAAGTGAGTTAAAGGCCAGCCTGAACTGCATGTGAGACACTGTCTTAAAAACTTGCCCTCCCCCCCCCAAAAAAAAAAAAAAAAAAAAAACCAAACAAACAAACCCATTTGATGTGAGGCTGACTTCTGGGCTTTGAGTGAGTCATACATGGTCTCAGATTGGGTCCTTGCCTCATCTCTTGTGAGCAGTGTCCTCAGGGAGGTGGACCATGTCAGCTTACCCACCCCCTATGAAGCTGGAGCAGGCTGTTTAATATTGTTTCAAGTCTGTGACCACTAAACTGGACGATCAATGGGAGTTAAGGAGATGAATTATTTAAACCTCACCAGCTTTTAATTAGTCGGGGTCCTTCTGACCGATGGCTTCATCCACAGGGTATTGACTCCCCCACAGGAGTGGCCTCCATTGAGTGTTGCCTGGGTTGGGAGGGGCCACTTGGGGTGCAAGGTGGGGGTACACCCTCAGGATTCCTGTTTGGGAAGAGACTAGAATGACTGATTCCAGGCAGTTGGAGGCTCTTCAGGCTTCTAATACAGCAATATAAATATGTGTCTGTATCGTTGTGTCTGCCTGGCAGTGACACCTTCAGCTGTGTGTCTCTGCGTTTAAGAGTATAATGTGTCCATGATTGTGCATATCTGTTGGTGATGTATATGCATAGCAATACCTCTGTCTTTTTCTAAGGGCATGTGTCTGTATGTGGAAGCAATCATTAGCTTGTGGGTGTGTCTGGTAGAGTACCTATTCATTTCCAAGTTATCTTATTTTATGTGTATTTGCCTATATGTGCATGCAGATGTTTTCAGGTGGCAGACATGACCAGGCATAGGCTTTGTTCTACGTGGGGGAGGAGCCAAGATGTTCCTGGGTGGCATAGGACCTTGTCATAATTACTGATTACTTCAGTCCCTATGTCATTGGTAGGGACTGGTGGGAAACGAAAAGATTAGGAGACATAGGCTCCAGCCTCGGACTAGCTTCTTCATCCATTCCACATTTATTAGTCCCTGGCAGGTGTGGAGCATGATAAATAAGAGTTCCTGTCCTCAGGGAGCCCACACATCCAGAGAAGAAACTGAGACTGAAATTCACTTGCTAGACAGGGTGCTAAGGGCTGTGATAGAAGCATGTGAAGTGACCTGAGGGAGGTTTTTCCCCTTGTCAGCTGAGAAGGTAGCTTCTGCTTCTTCATTTATATTTCATTCACTGGTGGGATTCTCCATGTCATTCTTTTTGGGACATGCCAAGGCTGTCCTAAGGCCTGGTGGAAAAAGGAAATGGTCAGCAGTCCCAGGGAACTTAGGATACCCCACTGTTACAGCTATTCCCTTCTGTCAAAGCTTTTATGTGCAACCTAGACAAGAAACCAAACACAGCTAGATGATATGTCTTGGAAGTCAGTAGACGTTTCCCAGAGAAAAACTTGGGTTCTTTAAAGGATACTTCGTTTTCTAGCCTTAAAAATGAAAGGACTAGGGACATGAGAAAGCTCAACATACTGAGAGACCATTTCAGATGTCTACAAACATCTTATTGAGATTAGAGTAGAAAAAGGTAGGCTGGAGAATAGCTGGAAAATAGAAAAAAATGGCAGAGCATGGAGTTGTTGAGCCCATCCAGCCAAGCTTCAGACCCCTCAAGTTGACACCATATCTGGTTAAAGGGCATGTATTGCTGTTTTGAGGCTTGGAGGAGATGTAGATTTGTGAGTGAAAACATGACATAGTCAGAGTTCTGAATTAGGATCATTGAGACTGTGATGCATAAAATTAGGCCTTAGTAAATGTTCAGTAAATGCTTCTGGATCAATGAAAAGCTGGGTGAGTAAATCAATCAATAGAAAAGTGATGAGAAAGGGAGAGGCCGGTGAAAGAGGACCAGTGAGAAGACTTGCCTTGGCCTGGGTAAGGAGGGGCTGCCTGTAATGGAGCTCGGCAGTGTGAGGAGCACATCCTTGAACTAGGTGTCCTGCTTCCATGTGTCTGTCACTGGGGGTATTTGTGAGGCAAATCAGCTCCTCCTCTGCCCAGTCTGATGCCTCTTGAGCCTCAGTGACACTGCTCTTGTCTTTTTACTCTTGTCACTTAGAACCTCTGAAGTATGTCCCCCATCTGGGTGGACCTTCAGCTCTTAAGTGACAGTGAAGTAGGCTTTGAAGCTGTAGGTAGCTCTGGCTTTACCATGCAGAACCATGGGACCTAAGACAAGGGACTTCTTCCTGCTTTTGAGAGGTGATGGGAGGGCCCAGTGCATAGCCTGTTAAGGGCTAGTGCAGTCCTGGTCAACGTGGGTGCTCAGGAAGCTCACTTTCTGTGGTCCAGGCAACACCTGGGCTTCCTGGACACTGGGATTTCTTGGCACTTGGTCTTTGCAGTCTTTGAATGAAGAGGGCTGCCCTGCCAGCTCCTGGCTGGCTCTGAGGTGTGGGTGAGGGTACTTGGGAGGGAGGGAGTAAGCAGGGCATTAATTGGGCTGGGAGAGGCGGGGAGGGGAGGCGTGGGTTTTGAGCAGTGAGGTTAATGGCCCTAGTGCCAAAGAGACAGCTTTAATGAGCTTCAGCTGCCAGTGCCCTGAGTTACTGTGCGTGCTAAAAGGGTCGCGCTGTAAGAGTTTGATGTGGACTGCTTCCCAGCCCTGGGGTCAGGGGTCAGCTCCTGTCACTGGCCACTCAGGCTGGTCCTCAGTGACATGGTGCTAATTAACTGTGTGAAGAGCTGCCATCCTGGAGTGGGGAGTGGTATGTGTATTGGTGGGGGGTGAGGCAGCTTTGGGTGATGCTGGGCAAGGTTTCTGCAGATTCCACTGCTCAGCTGTCTCCAGAGTGCTTTGCTCACCCACAGTTCCATGGGGCATGGCATGGATAGTGTGGAGGTGCTAGGGATGCAAGGAGGCAGGCTTGTAGGGGGTGGGACAGTGAGAGCAGGGCTGGGAGAGAAGACTGCAGAACAGGAGAGAGCCAGCTAAGCTAGTGGTGCATGCCAAGAGGTGTGAGGGGAGCGTGGGAGTGTTTGGGGAGGGGAGTGACTCAGCCAGAGTTGGGTTTGAATCACAGCAGCCTGATAGTTTTTGTGGGAACACCTGGCAAAGTGTCTGCATGCAGGGAAGCCGAAGAGAAGGTGCAAGAAGGTGAGTGAGAGGTAATGGATAGTTTACCGTTACCATTAGGATAGTGGCTGTGAGAGCAGAGGCAGAAACTTTCCTTTCTGCACTGAACATTCACCTTGCATCTGCTGTATGCCAAGAGCCATGACCAGGGCTAGAAATGAGTGGTAAACATGACAGCCACAGTGCCCTGTCTCTGCAGAGCTCAGAGGTAGAATTGTGAGCTTGGTTCTGGGGACTGTGGGAGGAAGTAGGTTGAGAAATGGCTGAGCAGGCCAAGAGACGGTGGCGCACTGGGCAAGGCTGCTCGAGGCTTGTGATTTGATGTCTTACCTCCTCCAGGGCTAGTTGGTCTGGCCTTGGGAGTGTGGAGAACAGAGTGACTGGCACTAGAGTTGGAGTGTAGGAGAAGGTTGAGAGGCCCTGTGTGTGTGCTGCCCACTGGCTGATTTCTGTGGCTGCTATGATTCTATCAGCATCTTGGGTTTGGGCTACAGGCTGTGAGGCACAGCATCCTGCATAGGGGACCTGACCCTTTCTTTCATTCTAGCAAATGGCCAGTAAAGCATTCATGTTATTTCAGGGCACTTTCTGTTAATTGATTTAGTTTTCACAGGCAAGCATCATCATTCTTATTTTATCAATGAAGAATCTGAGGTTCAGTTCTGTGGCAGCCGGTTGAGTTCTGCCAGGATTCAAACCCAGACGCGTCTAAATGCAAAGCCTGTATTCTTGTCACTACTGACCACTAAGGTGCCTTGTTGGTGTGGGACCCTATGCTCCCAACATGATGATATGGAAGAAGACAAGCTCACTTCTCAGATTTCTCTCAGTACTGCATGAAACCTGTAGGTGTTGACAAAGCTTCAGCAGTGAGAGCTGAGGGGAAAGGGATGATGATATTGCCATCTGTCAGATCTGCTACAGCCAGGGCCAGAGCCAGGGCCTGTGACCCGGAGGGTTTCACTATGTGATAGCTGTTTACTCTGTACGTCTTGGCCTAGGAACACCCTGCCCATCTTCCAGGGGCCGCTGTCTCTGTGGCTTAGCCTGGCCCTCCAGTGGGAGCATGAAGGTGGTACATTTGGCCCAGTGTCATCTGTCAGAGGGGATGGTCAGTTTTGAGCACTATATAGGAAGGCCTGGCCTTTCTCCTCCTTTTTGGGATTCTGTAGGGGCAGTACCAGGAAAACCTCCTCTGCTGCTATGTCAGGGAGGCCCACAGGCTGCTGGCTCCCAGTGGCTGAGAAATAACTCACTTTCCCTGACACCTGGCTGGGTGGCCCTGCCCTGGAAGTGTAGTCCCTGTGCTCCAGGCCTGAGGGGCTCCTCTGAGGCTTAAGGACTCCAGACTCTCCCAAGCTTGCTGCCCAGCAGTGTCTGGCCAGAGTTGGGCTGGTGGGTTGCAGGGTGGGGCCATCCCTGGGGTGGGGGCAGTTCTAGCTTGTGGTCTCTCCTGAAGGAGTGAGGTGTCTATCAGAGTCCAGTCAGAAGGCATTAGCTCTGTGACACAGACCTCATTAGTGCCCGTGAGAGGTGTCACTGCGGGAGAATCGTTGGCTCAGGGAGATGCTTGTACCAAAAGGAAGAAAGGACAGTG